CGCATAACAACAAGATTAAGCACACATATCTACGCCTACAATACACGAAGTAAGGGCCACGTCGCCACAAACTACACACTATTCTGATAAAATATGAATTGCTTTGGAAAACTTGGCGATTGTTCAGGTGCGCATACACGACATTACACATACACCGTACAGTGTTAGAGGTGAAGACACATTTGCCACACGCTCGGAGGACATATCACAATCAACGTGGAACATGACCCGATATCTTGCCTTGCCAAACCGACATTTCATGCCGTACCACAGCGAGCGTCAGTGGCCATTACCCTTGAAGTACAAACACGAGGTGACAGTACACTGGGGACGCAGCAACAGGCCTCAAGGATAAGCTTCCCGGGACGGGTCTTGGACGAAAAAATATAAATAAGCCACACGGGAGTTGAATACATGTGATTATGGAAAGACTCATTGCCTGGAAAGTGGATTCATCTGGACGGCCTACATGGCTCCAGGGAGCAACACAATCTCTTTTGTTGGTGGCTTCTCCTCCATTGCATTTTGAAACTACAGCCAAATTCTGCGTCTCCGTTTGCGACCAAACCCCGCCTTTGAAAACCCCTGCTGCCCGCCTGTTCGGGACCATCCAGACGCTAGCAAAACAAGCTACTGGCCAGAACACCCGGCGGGAGCCGGATCACACCGGATCATGACTTGCCAATGTAGGCACAATGAGACGGGCGGAAGGGAAATGACTCAGACGCCCGCAAGGACGCGATTCACGGCATCACTGATTTGTGGCAACCTTATCGCGGATGACCCTGACGGCAGCCGCGCTGACACCACGTGGCACCTGACGGCTGGGTCACCGGGCAGCCCCAGCGCCCGCTGCCGGCGCCGCCTTCCCGCCGCGCCTGGCAGGCGTGCTGGCGGTGAGCGGCGTCACGGTCGACGGATGGCGGTGACTGGTGATTACCGGCCGGCGTCGCGGCCTGCCCGGCTCCGACGGACGGCCGGCCGCCGGAAACGCCGGCAGCGCGAGCGACTGGTGGCGTGCGAGGATCGGCTGGCCGGCGGCCGGGTGCGCCGGCGAAGCGACCGGTGCGCCGCTCGCCTCGTGCCAGGTGCGTGGCCGGCAGGTCGGCGACCGCAGGAGACGGTCGCGGCACAGCGCCGAGATGAGGGGCAGGTCCAGCCGGTCGCTGGTCAGCCGCAGCTGGTCCACGTCCAGCTGAGGCTGGCCAGAGGGTGCCGTCGGCGTCGGCGGCTCGGCGCCGCTGGCCGGCGACACTCGCTCCATGCAATCCAGGTGCTGGCGGACCAGCAGCTGGTGCTTGTTCAGCGTTTGGCGCCGCTGTCGCTGGGACTGGCTTGATTGGCTGACGGACACCAGCGACCGGCTCGGGGCTGCGTCTGGCAGCAGCTGCTGCGCCTGGGTACAGCACACCATCGTCGTCAGGGGCGCGCCCATCACCTGACGCGGCAGCAGCGCACCCGTTCCCCGATCACCCGACGACCAGCAGCGGCGCATGCAGATGGCATGGTGACAAACCGGCACCAGGCACGCTTCAGAACATCTGTCACAACACCGCCGGCCACTGGCTGACCGAGCTGACTAACCTGCCAGTACGGCGGTGGAGGCCGCTCATCGCCGTGAGCCGACGCCGCCGAGCGTCGCGCCGCGCCGGCCGACGCCGGCAGGTTGTCCGAGGTCGCGCGGTTCACAGCGGCGCGCCGGCCACTGGCGGCCGTCGGCAGTGCCGGGCTGGGCGCTGGCGTGCCGCTGACTGCGGACGCGCCCGTGGCGGAGGGGGCCAGCGACTGGCAGCTGAGGTGGCGGCGCAGGCTGTCCAGCCGCTCCGCCAGCGAGCCGACCGCCTCGCGCGTCGGGCCGACGCTGGCGCCGCGCGGGCCTGCCACTAAGAAGCTGCGGTACTGCGCGCTGTCCTTGGGGGCGCGGCACAGCGGCGGCGGCGGCCGGCCGTCCGAGAGGTCCGCCACACCGCACCGCCTGGCGTCCATGTACTCCTGCCGGCTGATGCCCGGGTCCTTCAGCGGGTACATGACGTAATCTGAGTTGGAGAGCAGCTGGCGCTGGAACTGCTCGATCTGCGAGCGGCCAGCTGGCCGGTAACACGGTGGCCAGGCTGGCGCGCTGCGCCGGGTCTCGGCCACACGGCAGAGCGGACCCGCCGCCACTGGGTCAGCCTGCCAGCTGCGGCCAGCTCCGCGCCGATCGCCGGCTGCTGCCAGCTGGCGGTTGGTGCCGACTGCTGCCAGCTGGGAGTCGGCACCGCGTGCATACAGGGACTCAGCGAGGGTTGAGTCACCGCGTGGCCCAGCGTAGGGTGCGGCCCCACACGTGCCAACGCGCCACTCGACACCGGACCGGGCGCTGGCCGCATCGCCGCGGGCTTCTGCGCCGTGCTGAGAGCTAGTCGCGACGCGCGGGCCCCGGCCCGGGACCCGGGGCCGGGTGGGACGCGCGCACGTCCAGGCAGCTGTTGCCGCTGAGCAACGCTGCGCTCTGGAGCAGCTGGGCGCGACAGGCGGCCGGCGGCGGCTGGGGCTCGAGGAGCGACGCCTTCGCCACGCATGCACGCAGCACGGTCACGGTGGCCGGGCGGTGATGAAGCGCGCCGACGCCTCACCCGAGCCGGCGCCCCGGCCGCCGGCACGGTGACAACGCGCACGGCAGCCTCCGCCGGCGGCGGTCGCTCGTCCCCGCCGCCGTCTGCATGACTGCGCACACACACGGGCGTCACCGTCGTCACCGTGGCCATGGCACGCCGCCCGCCGGCTCAGCCATCCGGGGCTGGCCGTGCCTGTCGTAAGGCACCTGGACGTAGTCGCTGTCCGTTTCGAACGTGCTGGAGACGGTGGTCTTGCGCGGGAACGAGCCGGGCGTCGTGACGACAGAGCCGACCGACGTGTGCGCCGAGTGCACGCTGTAGTCGATGTCCACCTGACCGGCGGCGGCCAGGTGCCGCTGCACAGGTCGGCGCTGTCGGACGGGCTCCGCGCAGGTCAGCGTTGACCGGCGCGTCGCCGTCCGTGGCACCGCTCGGCCGCAGCGGGCGGTGGCGCGCGCTGTCCGAGCCGGAGCCGGTGCTGCCGTCTGGCCGCGTGCACATGGTGCTGTTTAACGTCCGGCTGGCGGCGTCGAGGGGCACGCGCCGCCGCCGGCTGCCGGCCGCGCGGCACCGCACATCGACGCCTCCTGCTGCGCGCTCGTGGTGCAGCAGGCCGCTGGCGATGCGAACCCTGGCGCCGGCGCCGGCTCGCTGGCCTCGACACGGCCGGCGGCGGCCGGCGGCAGCTGCGCCAGCGCGTAGTGTGGGTTTCCTGTCAGCGACAGGCGGCGCGGGGAAGGAGCGCAGCCGTCGCCGGTGCGCCCGGAGCCCCGCCGTGCGTCGGCCGCCGCAGCCGGCGCCACCGCCGCCGCGGACGGACGCCGCCGGGCTGGCGGGGTCACCTCCCACCTGGAGACGAGACGACGCGTCAGTAAGAAGTCTGCGTTCCAACGCACAAAGCAGCAGCCACTTGGTACACTCGAACCGAATGACCCACAGATGCGGAGTGTTTGGTCGGTTTGGTACACCAAATGATCGCACTGCCTTGAACATCTCATTTGGCGTGCCAGCTGAAGGCAGTTTAGTCTACACTGATAGCAAGTGTTCGCGGAGAACTAACTGCACAGCCGTTCCACTTCAAAGTGAAGTAAATCACACCGTACAGCAATGTTTGCCCACAGATGGGATAATTGTTCGGACTTTTGTCCTTGTCTGGTGTGCAAGCATCTACCGGCGTAAATACTTTATATATATATATATATATATATATATATATATATATAGTACGAAGGGAGTTTCACTTGAAATATCAGTATCAACAGTGCAATTAAGGGCGGCAAAAAAGGACCAAGCACAACCTATTTGACAAATATTGTTGAAGGTTGCTAGGCATTTAGATTAGTGTCTTCCACGTAGTCATCGTGGTTTGGGAGCTGGAGATACAGGCTTCCATCCCCGAGCTCAGCGGCTGGACGCGTCATCCGCAAAGCTCTAGCGGGTGTGAGTTATTCTGGAAGTGCACTCGTGTTCATGGAACTGCCGTGGGCCGCTTTTAGGCACACAAACACTGATTGGCGTAAGTGTCGAAATGCTGAAATGTCTGTAAAACAAGGACATTTCTCAAGAGATTTTGTACATAAATATGAGCACCTTATTAAAGTCAAAATTCAAAATGAAATACCCTGTAAAAAAACAGTATGAGCACGTGTTCATACCATCAGACGAGGACAACAGTCCGTATTATTGTTTCATCAGTGAAACTGACGTCTCGTCGCAACCCTTCCATAAAACTATGGTGTTTGCCTTCTTGCTCACCCACCACCCACGAACGGATCGCCAAAATCACTCACACCCATGTCCTCCACAACACTTGAAATCATACAGTATAACAACAGACATTAGTATTAACCTTATTCCTCGAGGAAAAAAGGGGAATGGAAATATGGTTGAGTCGATATGTCGGCAACATACTTTTATCGAAACAAAGCAGAGGTGAATTCAAAATTGCCGGCCAATGATACCACTCGATTTTTCAGTGTTTTTTTTTTAACAGCATGTCACAGTTTTTACAGGACACCAGCATTCCGGGGATTAAACCAGGAGCGATTTCAAGCCATTACCACGATACAGTGCCTATCGAAGGATTAGAGTCCGCGAACATACGTGTACATGTAAACGAATTGAAGGAAATAGACATACATGATGCTTCATTCAAACATACAGGTGAGGTCCACACCTCCCTCAATTTTGGCTTGAACGTGTTTTGCCAAAAAATCTCTTCTATATCACTAAAGGAGCAACGTGTGTATGCGTGCGTGTATGTGTGTGGAGGGGGTGTGGGGGGTGTGGGTGTGGGTGTGGGTATGTGGGTGGGAGTGTGTGTGCGTGCGTGCGTGCGTGCGTGCGTGCGTGCGTGCGTGCGTGCATCGAGAAGTGTGCGGTAGTTTACGGTTTTTGTAATCATGGCCACAATATGGGGAAAACGAAAATAGTTTGGTGGACGTTGCTCACAACGAACAGGTCTATAACCAGTGTAGTTTCCAGACCCAAAATATCCATCAGGCTTTCGAGATCAGTTTCGAACAGGATGAAAAGGTAAGTCGCTTTCCGGTCGATCATTGGTCAAAACGTCGCTAGATCACAAGACCGCACTACGGTACACTAGACCACTACGGGTGGGGCAGTTGTGAGACCGGCCAGTGAGCATCGTACATTCACCCGCAACGTGCAGCTGAGTTCACGTATCGATCTAACCTTGCTGCTGAGATCCAACAACAACCCCCAAAACACCCCGAAACGGTAGGATCCATGATTGGCGCACGAGAGCACGTGACCACATCGGCACATTGCCCCATATCTTGGCCAATACGACTGTCCCTTTTTCTTCCGTCTGAATCTGTTGATCTCATTGCAATGCAATAGTGGGTCGGTGAGATCTGAGTGTCGGGTTTAGTGTGGCTCACCCGTAGTTCTTCAGGGTTTTCTGCGTGCGGCAATTTTACCTTTCTCATGTTACCCGAATGGAGACATGGAATCGTGCTCGTATTACAATGTTGCAAGAAAAGTCTGACCGACCATACAGCATGAGCCCACAATGAGTGACTTCCAATGCGTCAACTCCAAGGAAGCACAACGGCCGGGTTACGCCGGGCCGGGCCGCTTAAGCTGAAAATCGCATCATACATGGCTCAAGTAAGGATCGCCCAACCTGCGACCTCACTCGGAATCAAGAGGTACGATCAATAACTTGGCGTTCAAGTTATACAGTGCTAGTTAATGGCTGGAAGTAGATGGTGGTAGCGGTGACAGTGCTGGATAATTGAACGTAGTCAGTGTCAAGTGACAGCGAAATGACAGTTCACTGCCACCTCAGCCGCGCTGGCAGACTAACATCAATGCTTAGTCAGTATACTGCCACAAGTTCGGGGAAAAACAGCCTCCGGGCGTCAGTGAGTAAACAAACAGACACCTCTGAATATCGTCAACCAGGTCAGCCTGCTGTCCATGTAGCGGTAGAAGTGACGGAAGGGTGGCATGCCATTATATTGCCTACATATACAAATTGTGATATGACCAAACGTACAGGGTTCGGTTCTTCACGGTGTCCATCCTTCCAGTCGGGGTGAGAGGCAGACGAGGCCACATGCGCTCAGTAGCTGAGTGCGTCGTAAAGCCCTAATGACGACGGAATTGCGATATCGGAAGCGCCAACGACTTGCGAAACAGCTTCCGTCACATTCCTGTCTACGCATTGTGCAAAAAAATGACACGAGGTCCGTCGTTCCCGACAGTTATCATCCCGAGCCAGTGGCTTGTGACGTCATAGCCACGTCTCGACGGGTCTACCCCGTGCTGCACCAGATTCAGTCGTCCATTGGTGACGTCACGGGATCTCAGGACGGCGTTTGTCAATGTGGCCAGTGCCTCCGGTTCCGGTGCAGCCGCGGACTGGCTTGATCCGGAGTGGAAACGCCGAGCCGGACCGGCACTACGCGATTTTCTTTCAGCGAGGGGCTGTTGTGTAACCGCTGGTCGCTAAAGAGTGATATTCAGGGCGCCACAATAACGTCGTTCAATTCAACATTTAACTGACTGCACAGAAAGCTGAGACTAATTTCCAAAGCTGTTGGGAGCCTCAGTGCCGACTTACCGGCGGAGGATCTCTGTGGACGATCGCGGGGAGGCGGCGTCCAGCTGCGAGCGGGAGCGAGTCATAGCGTCCACCCCCGCTCTCGGCAGACTCGGCCGCCCCGCAGCCGGCCAGCAGCTCCGCCTGCAGGTCATCTGTAAATACCCGACCGCACCTGACTCACCGCCAGGACCAGCAAAACGGCCCGGACTGCGGCAAGTTTATTTGGTGCCTCCTTGCCACCAGCCCCTCGGTCGTTGTAAGCCGCTCACCACAGGTTCACTTGCTTGAGGACTCAGTGGCTTCCCCGACAGTTCGTAATATCAAAAATCTGTTCAGCGCTGCATACCAAGGCATTGTCAAGATCGGCAGCAGCCGTCCACACACCCTAACAAGGGCATCTCAACGCACGCCACCCACGGCGTGGCGGCGGGTGTTCGGGCCGGGGGCGGTGTCGCTGCGGCCAGACGGGCCAGCACTCACCGTCGCTGTCGTCCAGGCTCGGCACGGTCCGGTCCGAGACGACGCCGGACGTGGCGTTGGACGAGGTGCTGGAGACGACCGAGACCCGCTGCTCGGCGTCGCCGGCCGACGTCTGCAGGTACTCCCAGCCCGGGCGCAGGTCACGGGGGCGCCGGAGCGAGCTCGCCGGCGTCCGCCGCTCTGCCAGCCAGGCCCAGCTCCCGTCAGGGGCGCGGCGTCTCTTAGCGTTCCAAAAGCCGATTTTCAGGTGGACGTAATCGGCTGCTGACGTCAGCTCTCAAGTGGACGTAATCGGTTGCTGACGTCAGCTCGCGCAGTGTGTGACGTGCGGCCGTGGCGGTGGCCCGGCGCGCGGGCGACACAAGCAATGCAACGAGCAATGAAATTAAGCAACGAAAAAAAAATTATCAACATTTTTTAAAGTGTACGAGGCATCTGAATAAGTGTAGTGCTCAAAGCTTTCAGTTATCTATGCCGTGATGAAATTAAGTTTTGCAGCAAACTGACAATTCATCGACGAACGCCTGGCGTTTTGAAGGATGCATATATATATATATATATATATATATATATATATATATATGTATATATATCTATATATATATATATAATATATATATATATATATCCTTCACATACATGAATAGGGCCACATAATTATTAGCATAAGGCATTGTGGTGCAGATGCACACGTCCTGCAACTTTACAGAACACGATCATTGGGTGCAACAAGTTTCTCAAATTCCAACGATGGTGCTGTATGGTGTGCTATTACAGAAAAATAAGTAGCAAAATCTGTGATTCTTATCACACTAAATCGAATCATGACCCCCACTCTATTTCGCTTGATTCAGTCCGCATAAATGATACCGTTTTATTCAAAACATTTAAATAAACACTTTTAAACAAACTAAGTTTCATTTTGATGATGGCGCGGTCCCCAATTATTTTGAATCATTGGGGACCGCGCCATGATTTTTTATAATTGATTTGGATGCTGATTCGGTTCTAATCACTTTGATTCAGAATCGATTCGATTCACTTGTGATGAATCAGGTCTCAGGCACCAGTCTGCTGTCATGCGCACGACAGCGCAGGGGGAGTGCGCGCCACGCAGTACTGACTGGGGGCCGCTCCACACCCGCCGCGGCCGCGGCCAGCGCAGGAGACTTGAATGGAGACAGGAGACAGAGACAGAGACAGAGACAGAGACAGACAGGATTCAGGAGACAGGGCCGGCGCAGGAGACACGGCTTCACCGGCCCGGGGATCACGGTAGGCGCAAGATGCCCTTTGGCTGGCCTATGAGGATCCGGCCTGCGGGTTGGGTTCGTAACCCGGCTAGATCTACGGCACCGTCGTCGTCTGTCCTGATGGGCCCGAAGGCCCCTTGGACCCCGAGGGGGCTTCATGTTCCCTGTGCTGCCCTCGCCCCCATGCCCCGCTGCGCCTTTCGCCCTTTAGGTATGTATACGAAACTCAACACGGGTCAGCGACCCGCTCTTGGAACCCAATTCCAAGGTGAACTACGACGCCTGCGCCCCAAAGCATTCGGTACTTGGTGCCAGTTTGACTGAACGTATAACCGTTTTCGCTAGCAGGCCAAACATCCCGGCTTCTAGAAGAACTTCTCTATTTCCTACTGTTTTGGCGATGAAAACGTCCATATTGGTGACACTTATCCAATCGGTGGTAGAGTGTTCTCTTTGGTTGTGATTCCTTAAATTTAGTAGCAGGCGTCAACTTTCGTTTTTTGGTAAATGGATGATAACCAATCAGTGGGCGCGGCATGTGACATAAGAAATCAGGTCACACTGGTGTGGCATTGTGGTCAGACTCCATCTGGTTATCTCCGAAACCCAACGTGGTACGGCAATGAAACAAGCGACGCTTTGCAAGGGTTGTCATAATCCGCTAAAGATCGGTAATATGACCAGACATATGCTGCACGAGGTCAAGGTCAGTGTTACATCGACACATATTTCTTCATTCAATACAGATCAGTAATGTCACCCGCTATGTGCCGTACGAGGCCATGCAACGTAAAATATTTCCGTACATATTTCTTCCCGCTAGGCAATGGCTTCAAATGACATCACCTCGCGCATTTTAAAGAATCTTATCATCGTGTAGAATCGTAAAGCATGCACCCCTCAGCCTTCAGAGCGCTCGTTTTACGACAAACTTGCATGTCCGGATGCCTGGACGCAAAATGCCACGGACACGATCCCAAGATGTCACAATTCGTGAGCTATGAAGGGTCGGGAACACGAACTTTCACCGAGTGTGTAAAAACACGGTATGCTCAGCTAACAAAATTTAAGTATAATGCATTCATGACTTATTCTAGAAAAAAACTCTGGTGGAGGCTGTGAAACCGCCTCGTTCAGCAAGGGGTTAGTCAGTAGATCGACCGCCTTGTTCAGCGAGGGGTGAGTCGGTAGATCGACCACCTGGTCCGGTGAGGGAAGAGTCGGTAGATAGACCGCCTGGTTCGGCGAGGGAAGAGTCGGTAGATCGACCGCCTGGTTCGGCAAGGCAAGAGTCGGTAGACCGACCACCTGGTCCGGCGAGGGAAGAGTCGGTAGAGCGGGGTCGTGCCAGCAACACTGGGCTGACGAGGGCCGTTTCCTCTGAGGCTTGTACCAGGACAGCGGTCCACCACACGTGACAAACACAGTCCGCCGCCGTACGCACCTTCTTCTGAACGCTGCTGGATGAGGGCGAGCCGGTCATGAGCTGACTGCGTGAACAGGTGGGTCTCCTTGCAGAGGTGGAACAGCTGCTTGGATTTCTCGTCGTCCGTGGTGTAGAAAGTGAACTTCTGGGTCAAGGCACTGATTTCAAACTTCTTTTTCTGGAAACAAAGCAAGATGTGGCAAAATGATATACGATAAGGTTGACAGTGTTTGGCAATGGTCTAAGATAAAACTTACTTATCACATTATTCGGAGAGGCAAGACACAAGAACTGCCAAAATCTTTGGAGAAAACATTTTAATCGCAGAAACCAGCTCGTAAAGAGGCCCACCTCTCGCGAACGTTTCTCTGCCTTGCATGACCCAAGATAAGGTCACATTAAAACAGATCATGACCACTAAAGGCCATGGCTGTAAGCCATGTGTCTGCCTGTCATACTGTTGCTAAATGCGTCATACTTCTCGACACCTATCGCCGCTGCGCACAGTATGTGCCTTCATCTCCCAGTTCCCGTCTGGTTACGCTTTAGGCACGAGGAACTCAGTCTCTTTTGCTTGCATGTTTCAGTGCATAGTGCGCCACTTACTTTTGCCACAAGTGTGAAGGATTCGGGAGGGTTCAACGATTACAGTTTTCATTTGTGCCTTGACATTTAACATAAATTAGGTGTGCGATATGACTTGCATTGCGAAGAGCACACAGTCTTGCGTCCATCTTTAAGCACCCACAGGTATATTACAAGTCACATCTTTCCTCAAGACATCACTGCATTTGACACACGCCAGACGGTACAACGCTTCTTGTTAGAGCTGCGTGTAACTGAAGAGAGGAGAGTCATGTCGAGATATCAATGCAGTGCAACAGCTGACTCACCTCAAAGCCGAGCCTGCCGATGTTTGTCCAGATAAAAGACGCAATCAGCTTTCTAACACTGTTCTTCTCCTCCTGTAAGGAAAGAAAACCATCTCAAAGGCACAAGACCCTAATGGAAAAGGCGAAAGACAACGGGTCTGTAACATGACGGCAACACACGTACGTCAATGCTGACAAGATGGTAGCATGAGGCGGAAGCTTATCCTCTTCCATGTTATGGTTAACATGGAGGTTTGCTCACATGAGGGATAGCCGGCTGCGCCCCGTGTTCCCGGTCACTCCCTCGTCTGTCGCCCATGCCGACTCTTGACGATCTCATGTTGCGACACATTCATTCAATGGCATACATGCTCAATACATACATGCATGCATTCATACATACGTACACGTGAAGCACGCCCGCAGTAGGCAGTGCTTTGCCTGACCCCTGATCCCAACGTCCTCCTCCCCATTACTGAGCATGCAGAACTAAGTATGCTGTGTTATCTTGTGAACAAGAATGTTCGTTCAACAAGGATGCAACACAAACAGACCATACTTGTTTCTGCTGGGGACCCGTAGTTTCGGCTTCCAGACCCTCCACCCCCCCCCCCCCCCCCCCCTCCAATATCGTGTCATCGATCTCCAGATCACACTAGACTGTGCCTTCCGTCTGCAGGCCCTACTAGACCATGGCCTCGGTCTCCAGACCCCACTAGACCGTTTGTTTGGTCTCCAGACCCATTAGACTGTGTCATTGGTTTCCAGACCCCATCAGACTTTTTCTTCGGTCTCCAGATCCCACCAGACCTTGCCGGCGATCCTTGGACATTACTAGACCATGTCTTCGATCCCTGGATACCATCGAAATGACCGTGGCCCATTCCCTGTACCGACCGGACCGTGTCCCAATCCCCGTGTCCCACCAGACCGTATCCCAGTCCCTGTGTCCCATCAGACCGTGTCCCAGTCCCTGTGCACCGCCGGACCGTGTCCGGACCGTGTCCAGTGGCTAAGAGGCCCCACCGGACTGCGTTCCAGTCGCTGGGAGGCCCGCCGGACCGTGTCCAGGCGCTGGGAGGCCCTACCGGACCGTGTCCCAGTTGCTGGTAGGCCTCCGCCGGACCGTGTTCAGTCGCTGGGAGGCCCCACGGACCGTGTCCAGTCGGTGGGAGGCCCCGCCGGATCGTGTCCAGTCGCTGGGAGCCCCCGCCGGACCGCGACCACTGCGGCACGGCGGCGAACCGGCCGCCGTGCGGTGCTCGCCGCTGGCCGGCGGCGGCCGGGTGCGGGTTGACCCAGATGGGCGGCGGTTGGCCGAGCTCCGCTCCCCGGCCAGCGCTGAGGAATGGGAGCGGCGCCAGCCTGCGGCGGACGCGGCGGGCTAGCCGGGTCGGCCAGCCTGCCTGCCCGCCTGCCCCCGCGTCGGGCTCGGTACGGACCGGACGGCGCGGCGCCGCCGGTCCCGCCTCGCTCGGATTCTCCGGTGCTTGCCGCCTTCTTTGCATTGTGTTACATAAACCAGGGAGGGGTAAGTAGTCGACACTTTGATGCCGCTATGTCATGGTGTGACAGCAAGCCGTGCGTCCATGCAGTTAACCTTAATCCGCGAGCACAAAGGCAAGAAACAGATTGGTCGCATTCCTGTGGACCTTTCGAAACATCTGAAACGGGTCACCAACAAGCACACGGCTCGCGACACACTGTCATGCACAGAAGTTGTGCAATTCATGTCTTGAGGGTGTTCTGGATAACAGATGCTTAGACTTCTGAAAACTGCACGACCGCCGTCGCCGCATCCGCAACCTGGATTTTTAGCTTTCCTTGACGCGGACGGTTGGCCTCACTACTCTAGCTGTAATTATGACTCTAAGTGCATTTACAATCGCCAAATTATTGGCGCTAGCGTTCGCACAGAAAATTACACTAAGAACAGCACGCAAAAGGGTACGATGCAGAAACTTGGGCCATTTCTGAAGTATCTTGTGTTACACACGACGTCCTAGAACGGACCCATCATTTAAGCTCATTTATCGTTAGTGCAGCCTGGTAGTCAGTTACGCTTTCCAAAGTAGGTAGCTGTTTCGTTTTGTCCGTCATCTAGCCTTATCCCTTGTGCGAACAAACACTGAAATATGCACATTTCGGGGTGTTAACATGTCTAGGAAGAAGTGAGTCATTGCAGGACGGGTAGCACAAGGGGTGCAGGATCATCAAAAAGGATAAATTCAGTTCGCTTGGAAACATGTAGTTACCTGATTGAGTCATCCAGTTACTGGAATTACCTGGAGAGTCATCGCGACTTGGTTGCACGAAGTAAACGAACGATGTAGCAAAGGTGCGTCACTGCCCGTATGCATTTGCATGGCATAACTTTATAAATACACCGGACTTAAAACTCCACAAAAGTATAAGAAGCTTTGAACTTCATAAAGACAAGAAAAACTAGATAAATAACTTTATGAGTACACAAACAAAAGAAAACGGTAGGCTCACGCTGTGTTTAAAAAAGAACAAAAATGTATGATATTAACGATATCATAGCTTCCGAGCATTGGACCAAATTCTCTATCATGAATTATAGATGCTGTGGGGTTGATGTAATAACCTTATGTGTCACGCCTTAGAAATCTGAAAAAAATTAAACAAATGGAAGCGTCCTCAATTGATGCGTTTCCACAATTGGACCTAAAAGCAGCCTACAAGCACCAAGGCCATTCCGGATGGACCACTCCTCACGAGGTTCAAGCATCCCCATTTTGTCCTGGCTACTTTAGATAATACGAGCCGAGTTAAATAATTTAAACTCCTTGGATACTATTCTGACGAATCAGGATGCAATGACGCAATACAATGACGTCTAACGAAATGTATCGCATCTGACTATTATATTCTTATAGTTACCGTCATTCACGGAGTACTGACGCTAGTTAGGCTCTTTTCCCCCATTGAACTCTTTCATCCGGCCCGCTTACCAAAGGCGATGGCTCAAGTGATAACGCCAAGACTTATTTAATGGACGGTAATAGCACAAAAGCGGCGCATTAACAACTTTGGGGTTGTGCGAAAGCAGACTCAGAGAGCTTCTATAAATTCAAACTTTGCATAAATTTGTGCCCTATGCCAAATCCAGCACGCAATCATCTTCCTAGCACACGATTAGCAAATGGACACTCTGTATTGATTCTACATCCGTCAGAAGACAGGCTGGCAAAGTAGCGCCGACACCGTTGGCGTCCATACCTGATACAGCTCCACGCCGTTGGGGCAGATGCCGAGCAGAACGGAGCCGGAAGTGTCCGACTTCCGGCGCCTGAGCCGGTACAGGTGCAGGTTGAAGGGCGCCTCGACCGCCGACGCCTCCCTGATATAAGCCAGCTCGGCCTGCGCGCTGGACATGCCCCTGTTGTGCCGGTGTACGGCTGGCGTGCTGTTCAGGATGGACTCGGCGCCCGCCTGACCAATCAGCTGCCGACAGCAGGCGGCCTGTCAGCTGATGTTGAACAGGGAGACGACGGGAGCCGCGCTTCGCAAAACCAGACGGACCACCAGCTGAGCTGCCTGCCAAAGCGCTTCGAAAAGCCAGAACAGGCTGATATGGGGGCTGGGTCCACTTTTTAAAATGAATTGCGGGGCAACGAGGGTGGTGCGACTCAAAACTAACATTTTCCACCCAAACAATAACCCATGGATGTAACCATGTCTGTAAGATTAAGAGAATGAATCCGTATTGGAGGGGTCAAACTAGAATCTGGAGAAGACAGCCAGACCTGAAATTATTCTTTAAACGATTGTCGTGAAAACACGCATGCTATGTCCTACCCTAAAGGGGGTTAAATCCCATCTGTTGCCAGCTAGACGGACACGTCCCCCAGTTTTGTGCAAATTTGAATTAAGTGCCATTTAGTTTTTTATCACATTTTAATTAAGTGCCAACTAGACGGACACACAAATTACACGCAACGCAGTAATCAAAGGAAATATTCCCAGATTTAACGTCAGGACGATATCACCGCAATACCATGCTATGAAACACTTCGTTAATTAACGTGCACTGGTAATAACAGCTCTCTACAGGATCTTTTGTATACCAAAAACTTGGCAGCAATATTGCAGCGTAATGAGCGACCAGCGAAAACCATAAAGATGGTAATGATGAGCGAATGATATGAAATGATCAGTTGTCAAACTAATGTCTTAACTTGCCGGTTACGTCCAAAAGCACCAAACAAACCCTCCTGAAGTCTACCATACCAGTGTCGGACAGGCCACATCTCCTACATACGCTTCGCGCAAATGCTCGTTTAAAGCATGGGTGTAAACATCGAGTAAGGCCCATTCCTATTTCCATTTATCCATTCCATTTTTTCATTTCATTTCATTTCATTTCAAGTTAAGTTTTCATTTGTGTTGCCCGATTGTGGTTAACAAATCGGTATAACTGAGGCATTTCCATACCAATGACTTCTATATAGCATTTGAACCGGATGAGTGCAAAAATCCTATCGCATTTAATGGGAAGACCTGGACTTGGCACAACCATGACGTGATATGATACGACCTCAATGCTTACCGTTTTTAATATTGTGGCATTCCACTTTACCGACTATATATAGCTATGCGACGCAAGAATACGCGCCCGTTCGTTTGATTCCGGTCACATAGCCACTCGATCAATATTAAGGAGGGCGGAGGTCCTTGAAATCATTTAAAGATTTGGGATGCATCAGCGGTCGTCATCAGTGATGGACGTCAATAGAACAATTCTCAGTAAGGCCGACCAGGGCTCTCGATTGTCGATTGAGCTTTTTTCGGTCCGACGACTACATCTTGAAATGCCGAGAAGCAGAAGCTAAAATCAAGCCCTCTCTAGGCTGCCGCGGATGGCGAAATAACCCAGACTGTGCCACATGAACACGTGAGTGGCTGCTCCAGGAATGCAGCCACAATACTCGCATGCGCTGCCCCGTTGTTGCACAAACGCTCTGCAGCTCCGGCCGACATGCGCGAGCGCAGCGCCTAAACACGGGACGACGAGACCACGCCGGCGGACGCGTGACGAGCGGGACAGAAACAGACGCCCCCACCACTACCACTCTGTCTGTGAGCGGACGCGTACCCAGTCGGGGAAGTAGTCGGCCGGCCGGAAGTACTGGGTGCCGGCGTGAAGTGGTCGGTCGCCGAGGTCAGCCTGCAACGCCCAGCCGGCCAGCAGCAGGCACAACTCCCGGCTGCACGCCTGCCCGTGCGCCAGCACGTTCTCCCGCAGCTGCAGGTAGTAGTGGTGCCGGGTGACCTGATCCCTGCAGGGACAGACAGACAGTGTCAGCCCACACAGCGGTGCCGGGGGGCCCGGTCCCCACAGGGACAGACAGACAGGGTCAGCCCACGCGGCGGTGCCAGGTGACCCGGTCCATGCAGGGATGGTCAGACAGGGTCAGCCCACACAGCGGTGCCGGGTGACCCGGTCCCTGCAGGGACAGACAGGAAGGTCAGCCCACACAGCGGTGCCGGGTGGCCCGGCTGACCAGACAGGAGGGTTGACCCACACAATGCTGACAACGCCCCTGCGAGGACGGCCCGAGGGCACCACGCAGTGGGTGCAAGCTGACCCAGGCTCAACGGGCACATACAAGGAGCGGAATTTTTAGCAAGTCTAGCATTGCTTCGGTATCCTTGCGTGAGAAACAATGAAATTAAAAACATCACTGTTCGCAGGAGTGCCTACGTTGCATACTCCTGTTTGGGATTACTAGATAAGGCTTATATCCTTGCATGGGGTGAATTGCCACAAAAGTCCAACACGTACTCATTAGTGTACCCGCACCCCAATCATCCTTGTGGAAAGTGTCGCCCTCGACTGCGCCTTGTGGCTTTGGTTCTAGGATCCATCCACAGTTGTCAACTAAACGCTGGGTAGGGGTTCAATTGTATACAAAATACACACGACATATTCCACTCCATGTTCAGCGCGTCTGCACGCCAGATGATCTGTGCAGGCTGATCACGTACAAGGCAAGGTGACATAGCTTTAAGTTACAATCACTTAAGTGAAAGCCCTGCTGCGAGACAGAAATATCTTTATGTCCTGATGTTTCGGCCCCTCAGCATATTTGCTGATGACACTTTTTTGGTTTGCTTTGGATTGGAGCCCATTCGACCGGTTGTGACCACTTCAGGACCATGAAGCCTGAACGAGAGCGGATAGTGGTGGAACACAGCTATATACACCTGGGGGTTCCTCCGCCGAAACTGAGCCCGCACAGAGCGCAGGGGCCACCATACGAGTTCTATGCTCGGCGCTCTGATGGGGCACTGAGGGTGCCTGGTACCACCAGGGGCACCTTAGCGCGCTCGTGGCTCGTGCATGTAGTTTGACCCGGGCAAACGGGGCGCCACGAAGTCGCAGGATAAAGCAAGATTGAGGAAAGAAGGTTGGATGCATGATGAAACGTAAGATACGTAACACCCTTTCCACGCTAGCGTTTGTTCGACTGGTACCTAATTTAGTTCAGCCGCATTCCACAGACACCTCGTTCTAAAACTAACGGAACATGGGACGCACAGGTGCTGCAGCTCATGGCTTTTCGTCAGGTCTATCAAAAATATGTCGTCAGGTTTAATATCCCGTTAACATTATTCCTTAAGTTATTTTGTTTCGACATTGCGTTTCATTGGGCCATATCACGCCTGTGTATTTTGACCCATGGGAACAACTCATGGAGCATCCATCGCACACTGGAAATGACGAAGATGTGCATGATAATGATACAAAACGCCTCCGGGGTGAGTTGATCGCGTTAAAGTTACAGCCATGCTGATAACCCATACCGCAAAACATCATCATATTCCTTCGTATCCATCCTGTCAAGCATTTCAGGCGTGGTACCAAATCATGCCCCTGTCTAGTAATGCTTGCGTGAAAAGGGGTAACTACAAGACGCTCTAAGTAGTGCTAGTGCAAGGTGATGCGCAATGCACAAATTTGATCGACTGGTTCTGCTGACAAGCTCCACGAAGCTCTACGACATGAGATAAGACTCGATGCCGCGTCTCTTTCTCTCACTCAAGTTGATCTCGTGCTGCCGTTCCAGACACCAACGGCCTTCCGCGGTCTAATGCTCCTGCCCACCACGCGCCACGCGGGACGGGAGGCTGACCCGCAGCGACTCTGGCGCCGCCCGCCAACCGGCCGACTCACTTCCCGACCGGAAGTGAAGCACTTCCGGTTGGGTGTCGTTGGTGCCGCCCGGTGGCGGCGCGCGGCGCAGCGCAAACTTGCCGCAGTCACCGCGCACTAGCCGATTCGGTGTGGGTGAGAACATTGCCGTATCTCGACAGGAACATCAGATGCAAGAAGGCGTTTGAAAACGTAACAAGCGCGTTTTTTAGATGTCATGAAATAAACTGTTTTACTTCGTTCATCTGCGCATTAGTTTCCACACCTATAAATTCGATGTCCCTTGGTGTCGCAGGCATATAACGCGTAAGCATGAACATGGGGATGCACCCACTGCCGTCGAGAGCAAGCATTTGTCTGGCCTAGGCCTTAGTTAAGCGTCATCGCGCTTCATCAGTTGTTCTTCCTCAACCGCTCGCTGCATAACCCGACTGTGACCTGGTAAATTTGTGACCCGCAATGAAGACTTCCTAATGACCTGCATGGGGCTGAATAAGAAGCTTGGCTGTACAGCCGTACATGTACATATCTTGATACTCACAAATGAAATTCGAATTGGCTTTAAAGTAAGTCGAAGAATGCGAGGTAAATGGAAGCGCGACACTGAATTCAAATCCAAATACGACGCTTTCACAACGCATATCGATGAGGTTCAAGCCTCACACCGACTCGAGTAAAGGCCAAACCGTACGACTATTAAAAAGTAGAGGAGGAGCAACAGCCACAAGAAAGGTAGGCGACCACGTCTTTAACAGCAAAAGATACCACATGAATGATACCGGTATGCTGCAGCTGGCCACATAATGAGCTCAATTTTTTTCTGTAAGGCTCTAACTTTTTTCACACGCGTGTTTATGGCGTGTGCAACATCAAGTTGGGTTCCGCTTTAAGTATTTCTTTGCACAAAGTGGAAGACAACATGATCGTCAGGAGTCCGTCAGCCTCACTCGTCATTCAGACTATGTGTTCTCACAGACTACATCCTGATCGCCGTCGTCTCTCTGAGAATTCAAGATATGGGTTTTTCACTGCCTCGACTTGACTGTTATTTCAAGCCTCTGATTTTTTTTAAAAATTGGTTTCCTTCCACAAAATAGTTATCAATACATTGGGAGTTGGACTGCATAATTTGAAAGAATGTGGTATGATACTGCCTTTAATTTGGGTTGTGTTACCACGCATCGCAATGCACAGCCTCTTCGCGCTTTGGACAAATAGGTGCAATATAAACAAATCTGAGCTCACCCTACCGGGCAGGGGCTCAAGAACAGTTCTTTCCCCCAGAGAAATTAGGAGTACTCCGTCGCACCGTGACATGTACATGGCGTTGACAACGCAACCTCACAAACCGATGCATCGAGGGAAAGGAAGGTGCATTCAGAGAACTAGACCCGGACCTTAAGCAAACAAGTTTTGAAATACACTAATCTACCTTAGTTCATGATCACAGCAAGCAAAAGCGGATCAAGACAATGCTCGTTCGCACTCAAACCGCAAACCGCGAGCTAAAACTACGCGTCGCCTCCATGTCACTCACCTGAGAAGGAGGTGACACTCCACGTAGAACTTGACCCGTAGGCTGAACTGAAGTAGGGGCTGGTTTGAGGCGTCTAGACCCTGAAAAATATATTGATGGGAATATTATTCCGAACGCGACAAAGTCCACCATGCGGTCGCATCATTTAGTTCCCTCCCTCCTCGCAAACAATGCAGGACAGCAGCAACATCCGGCGCAGTGTAGCTGTGGCTGGTGTTGAAAAGTGCATTAGGCTGGTTGGGTATCATCACAGATGTGCAAGTCGCAATCCAATGCATCGCAACCCAATGCATGATCTGTTTATTTAAAACAATGGAGCAGAGGATACCCAACTGTCTGACCGCGGCCAGCAGCGCTACAGATCACAGAACACCATACCCCTTTCCCGCCATCCCCCCCCCCCAGGAGCGCAATAGTAAAAGGGCCCTCCAGCCCCCCCCCAAAAATGTCAGATATGGCGTTAGTGGAAGCATGTTTTTAAGCATGTTGTTGGTTAGACTATATATATATATATATATATATATATATATATATATATATATACACCTATTTTGTATATATCTTTATATATATATAAATCTTTACACATTTGTACCTTTTACAACTGAAATGGATGCCGGGCGCTACCGCGAGATCAATTCTGCCTGAAGTTTATATAGTCAATAAACTGAAAACGTCCTGTGTTTTAAATGACAACATGAAATAAAATCCATGGCATTTTTCATTTGAAAATAGTTCAGCGGGACACTTTTCTATCCGATATAGAGCGCAGAGAAAGAAACTGTGTTGAAATTTTTGTGGGTTGTGCAAGGATTTCAAGAACCCACAAATATAGCTTAAAGAGCAAATGGTTCAAAATTTGTATTAGCATGGCCAAGTCATTTTTATTGGATATGCTCCACATTCAACCAAAATCGTGATAGGCATGCAAACTATGTAACGCAATTTTGAGCAAGGGCACCCTGCATATCTTAGCAACGAAAACCTCGACACCAGGCGTTGTATTCTCCACAGGCCGCTCGCCGTCGGCCCCGCGGCCAACACTAGGCTTTAGCCAACAGGTGGACGCAAAGTGATGATGCATTTGAAAGAAGAACCTTTGAACGCTTTTGGACATGCAATTGTACATTTATAGATATTCCGGGTGTATATTTCACTTATGCGATTTTTAGATTGATGATAATAATAGCAGACTGGCCTGTACAGCACCGCGAAATGGTCCTTCGAATCTGGTGGTGAAACTGAAAGAGTAAAGCTAAAATCTTTAATTTCCGTGCTGTTGTAGGTGTTAGCTGTCCAGAAGACAACTACAAAGTTGCAAAAAATTATTCGCGCTGTGTAATCTTTAAACCTTACGGCTTGATTTTGAATGAAATTCGGAAACATCATTTTGCGATCGTCGTTGTTGCGCGATCCCCTAGCCGATCCGAAGCCCCTTAGAGGGATACACCATTTCACCTTAGTCCTCTCTCTGACGCGGGAGGCCTTGTGACTCACGCCATTCACCCCGGATCAACGTATGAACCGTCACTTGAAGCAACAACATCCCTGATCGTCGCAGGTGGTCAAATAATTGGCAGCATTAGCTGTGACTAAAATGACTTTGGGATACTCTCCCCTGAAATACTCTCCCCATTTTCACGGGCGTGCAGCTCAGAAACTAAGGGGGATTTTGGGTCTCAAGAATGGCAGGGCTGTTAACTGCACCAGAGTCTTCGAGACGGCCATTTCAGTTCAAAACCCCACATAAACTGTTGAACATTCCTTCAACGGCAGGTGTCCTGCACAGGACCTGCCTTGTAGTGCTAACCGCACAAAACTCTGACGATAAGCTGTACTCCTGATCCTCGGCGCGGCTTCCTAAGGGGCCTCGCCCGCCCTCGTCCCAGGGTGGCAACCACCCATATGCACCCAGCCCCTTCCATTCTAGGGAAGCTGTCTGGACAAGATCAAACATAAGCATCTGTTGCGGGGGGGGGGGGGGACAACTGCACAACCGCTCAAACGGGACGGCAAGCACGGCTGCTGGGAGTCGTGACCTCGAACCGTCACCTAACCAGCCTGTCTGCCATACAGACCACGGCGTCGGCAAGCTGTGAGTGAGGCTTCACGGTGGACGGCACTGGAACGGGCCGGCTTAACACGAGGCGCCACAGCGGACGGCACTTGGAGTGGGCCGGCTTAACCACGAGGCGTCGCAGTGGACGGCATCTCTAACACGAGGTGTCACGTAGACTGCACTGGAGCGGGCCGGCTTAACACGAGGCGTCGCAGTGGACGGCACTGGAGCGGGGCCGGCTTAAACACGAGGCGTCGCAGTGGACGGCACTGGAGCGGGCCGGCTTAACACAAGGCGTCGCATTGGACGGCATTTCTTAACACGAGCGTTACACCGGTGGGATACAATAGGAGCTGAGCGGAACCGCCTGGTGGGATGCGGTAAGCGCAGAGCGGACGGCCTGGTGGGACGCGGTGGGAGATGCGAGGACCGCCGGGTGCGGACACGGTGAGAGCAGAGCGGATCGCTCGGTGGGATGCGGTAGGACCTGAACGAGCCGCCCGGTGGGACGCGTTGGGAGCTGAGCGGACCGCCCGATGGGACGCGGTGGGAGATAAGCGGACCGCCGGGTGGGACTCGGTGAGAGCAGAGAGGACGGCCTGGTGGGACGCGGTGGGAGATGAGCGGACCGCCTGGTGGGACGCGGTGGGAGCAGAGCAGCGTCCTTCTACCACCGGATGTCGCCTAGTGTCATGCGCAGCATCTGGGCGAGAAAGGGCGTCTCTGCTATTCCGACTGGTGTTATCATGAGCAGGTCCAATCATACGCTGGCAAATCGGGCTCTCAGCGAGCGCAGCTGGATAAATGTCTGCAGTGGCTGGTGGACTCGTAGGCTGCTGTGGTTGCTATGGTGCTGCGTTTGTTGCGGCCGCTGTGAATGCTGTGGATGCTGTGGAGCTGTGGATGCTGTGGATGCTGCGTGTGCTGTGGATGCTGTGACTGCTGTGGCTTCTGCGTGTGCTGTGAATGCTGCTTATGCTGAGGGTGTTTGCGGATGCTGTGTGAGATATGGATGCTTTGGATGCCGTGGATGCTGCGTGCTGCTGTGGATGCTCCTGACGCTGCATGTGCTGTGGATGCCGTTGTTGCTGTGGTGCCATGGATGCTGTGTATGCTGTGGCTGCTGGGCTGCTGTGGATACCTGGCATTGATTGTGCGGAGGGATTCCGCCGCGGCTTCAGCTCTAAGCTCCCGCATTAAGTCACGCTCCTTTGATCTTGACCGAATCCCAATTCAGCACGAAAGTATCTGTTGCTTTCTCACCGGCCTCGACACGACGCCACAACGAAGAATATGAGCATAGCTATTGTATCAGGAATATCTCCGATTGTTTCTTCCTTGTTGAGCGCTGCTTGAATGCCAAACCGTAGATATCATATAGTCAGGCTGTTATCTTATCACTTTTGTCATTAGAGGACAAAAATTTGAAAGGCACGGCTTTCCGGGTGACGTTATTCAGAGATCAGTCGATGCCGACCAATCACTGATCAGGCATGGCCTAAAAACACGGCACGGCCTCCACTTGGGGGGGGGGGGGGGGCGAAAAGCAACACCCCATACATGGCACTTAGAAATTCGCCACCGCGATTTCTGGAATGCATATGGAATCGTTGGTTGGAATATAGAGCCAGATTTGGACGGTGTATGGGCCGCCTGAACTCGAGCATGCCATCCAGTCATACAGGACAGCGCATATTAACCGCAACTGTAATCGGCTGGCATTGCTGGCATTGTTTGGTCGGAACCACTGGGCCGGAACTGGTTCGTTGTTGCGTTGCCAGACCAAATTAATGCCATGGCCGCTAAGCGCACAGTTAGAGAATGGGCATGATCATTGTTTCATTATGACTTGCCAGGTAGTAAGTCAATCAAATAGGCGTGAAGCCTTTCACAGACTAAAAATGGCAGATGCCAACAAAACCTTGCATAGGCGGGGGCAGGTTATGACTGACATGAATGCTGTTAACATGTGATTACAACATTCGTCATGTTTTTCGCTGAACACCCGACGGACTAACACATTGCTTATATCTCCGGTCAGACAGGTGGCAAAAATGAAACTAACTGATTCGTAGGGAGGAAATATTGTGTTAACCATGTCCCAAGCTCTCAGATGTGAACATGTTTAAATGCTTCATGATGGAGTGATCGTAAACGGCTTAATTCACACAATTTTGCAGAAAAATATTGTGAAAATCAAGCACTACCATGTGGTAAGATCGGCGGCCAGGGACATCAGCGTTTCTGAGTGCCACCGAAGCTTCTCATGCCTGTAAGATGAACGCTATCATCTGCCCGCAATGTGAAGGTCCGGCGCCGGCCGTCCTCCCCGTCCGGACGGTGGAGAAACGGCACAGGGCTATGTGGAGTTTGTGCATCCGGCTGAGCTCGCTGTGCGGCACCCGGGCCAGCCTCACGGCGGCTGTTCCGCCCGGTCACGTGACCGCCGCGGACCTGGCGGCAGAGCTCAGCGGCCAGCGCGCCGGCGTCCCTCCCACACCGCCTCCATCACGGCCAGCGCGGTGTTCCTCCTATGCCACCCCTACCACGGCCAGCGCGCCGGCGTCCCTCCACACCGCCTCCACCACGGCCAGCGCGTCGGCGTCCCTCCCACACCATCTCCACCACGGCCAGCGCGTCGGCGTCCCTCCCACACCATCTCCACCACGGCCAGCGCGTCGGCGTCCCTCCCACACCATCTCCACCACGGCCAGCGTGGTGTTCCTCCCATGCCATCCCTACCACGGCCAGCGCGCCGGCACCCATCCCACACCCTCCTCGCCATCTCCACCACGGCCAGCGCGTCGGCGTCCCCCCCCCCCCAAACCACCTCGGCAAGTGACCTTTCTTGAGAACGCCGGACTTTCAGCG